AAAAAAAATCGTGGGTATGTATCATCTGACCCGCCAGAGCGGACCGGCTCAATTGCCTGGCATTGAAAACGCCAAACGGGATAGATTCTTCCTGTTCTTCATGAAATCGATAATTCGAGCCTCCAGTGATTCAGTCAGGCTGGCTGAATGCCATTATTATCGGTTCCCCAATAAGAATAATACTCGTATTCCAGTACCTAGGTGTGGTATGGGGAAGAACAGGGATACCCTCGTCACCCACGCAGGTAGGCACCTGAACACTTGGAATATTCGTTAATCTATTCAAAGACACTGACTGGCATGGCGCAGAATTAAGTACGTACTGATCTCCAGCCGTCACCTGGATGTCGATCCTGAAACGGTGGCTCATGCCTGCATCAATTAGACCAACCCAGTGTCTCCAGTATCCATCTGAGTTTACCCAGGGAGGCAAGGTAGGTAGATAAGTGCTTCTTCGTTCCATTCCATATCTTCAGTTCCCTGTACCTCTATTTGAAGCATTGCGTCCTTCGTCAGCAGCTCAGTTTGTTGCAACTCGCCACCTGATTCCGAGATCTTCCCTTTGTTCGATCCAAAGGGTCTGATGGACGAGGATACTTAGCTTCATTCGGGCAAAAGTCACTAGCTGAAGTTTGTGATTCAGGCGGCAGCTTCGGATTGAAAAGTCAGCTTCTTAGTGGTTGCAGTTGCAGACTTGCTGCAGGGCGGCCGGAAGTTCCGTGGGGTGAAGCTGAAAGCTAGATAACTCAAGGTTCAAGAGTGTATGGAGTATGCACAAGATTATCAGTTGGATATATTATTCTATCCCTTTTTGACTCCAGTACAGACGGACTCTTGATCTCCCTTCATGGCGCACTGTGGTAGGACTTATCTATTGACCAAAATATTGATTGTATTTCAATCCTCTCTAATAATCAATCTTGTTGTTGTGTGACCCCTACAGCACTTAAGTCGATTGTTCCCCCAGAATAATGAGGATAAAATTGAACAACAGGGCAGCCCGGCAGAGTGGCAGAGCTACTGAACGGACCGCTCGCAGGCGATCAATAGTGCTCAAATTCTTCCTCTGATTTGCTAGAAACCATCCACTATTTTTCCCTTGGCCAGATGACTAGTATCTATCTACTCCATATCTAGTCTAACAAAGTTTGACCCACAGGTTACTGTAGTACAGACGGAGTACTAGTTTAGTCCCCAGTGTGGGCCGTGAAGCAGACCGTGGACTAATACCTAGACTAAGGTACAATTGGTTCATGGTAGCCTCACCGGACTCCAGAGTCCAGACTTAGCCTCATGTCGTTCGATGCATTAGTTTTCAATAGCCGCGACTGCCGACAAATGTCCATTCAATCATTCATCTGTCTTATTTCGCGCCCCCTTTTCCGGTCTTTTGGATTTTGGCCCCCAGGAAGTTCTCAAGGTCTGAACTGACTGCTCCTGTTTTACAAAACTCAAGTGACATCATCCCACTCATTCAGCCCATGCAGATCTTTATGCACAGGATTTACGTAAGACTGAGCATTTACAGATACCTACAAGGTATAATTTGACCGGAATCAAAGCTCCCAATAAACCTGCACACTTGTTCTTACTTCACTCGGAATGCTGAAATATGTCTCTACAAAAGGGAGCGATCAAGATAGTGCTCATGGTATGATTGCAATGGCCAGCAATAAATATGCTACCAAGCCGATACAGTGAGGAAGCAAGGGCCAAAATGCTGGCAGCACAGAGTACACCTAGTCCTTAGCGCATTGAGATCTTCAGTAGACCTATCTCTCCTCATCGTACTGTATATACGGGGGTACTTATATGACGCACATGAAGCGTCATTGGTCTTCGTATTTGATGCCGAGACAGGGGAAAGACACCTGCAGCTCAAAATAGTTACGACGCACATTTCAGCCCCTTTTCTTCCCTTCCATCGTGTAACTCAAGTCATTTTCCTGTCTGTCAGCAGTCAGCACAGCACAGATTGTCAAGATAGTTGACCATGAGCATGAAAGGGTGCTAAGTCATCACTGTGTCGGCCAGTCACATCCAGGAGTCATGAGGAATCATATCTGTGACTGTCACAATCGAAGCCCAAGGTCTCCTTGCAATAAGACCGACATAATTGATATTGGACATTCTCTTGTGTTGAACAGAGACAAGACTTCTCTGCCTGTGAGAGAATGGACAGGGAAAAAAAAGCAAGCAAGTTACCATCTGAATAGACTTAACTATTCGGTTGTTCCCCGTTCTTCCGTCTTCATATACTTCTCGTTGCGGGCCGGGCCTTCTTCGACTCGGGACGCGGAGAGTCGTCCACCCACAGTTAGCGTTCCTTAGATAACTGCCAAAACATCCATGGTCCTTCGCCGACTCTACGGCACTGTCGGACCCAGACCTACGACACTGGAGTTTGGGGTCCATAGGTTGGAGAAGCCCTCTCGTGAGTGATCCGCTTAAATTCGTCAACGCTGCTCCATACTGGTAAGCACGGAGTACCTGTCAGGGTATCAATACCTGCTGGAAGCGTTCGGTATCATCGGCGAAGAAACCCGATTCCAAAGGTTTCATGAACTTATGGTCTTTTTTTGGGATCCATACGCTTATTGGAGTGGCAATAGTCTGACTGCTTCGTATTTTCTAATGTTGTGTTACTCTGAAGCCTACGGTGGTGCTCGAGGTGTCCTGAAACAAGTTCATTGGATCTATCTATCTCAAGCCAAGATCCGAACGGAGCATACCTGCCAAGGACATGGCATTTTACTCCATCCAAAAAGGGACAGTTGAACAGTTGCTGATGAGTTTGATTCTCAGGGGGTCCGACAAACCACCTGTCGATCGTTGACCTGGTCTGGTATACCATGAGGTGGATAGACGTCATGTTTAAAAGAAAGCCGCTATGTAATAATATATATCTACTACTGAAAATTTAGGTAGGAGACGCGAGAAGCTCACATTATGGATACGGTACTCCGCTTACGCTGATGCCAGTGATGAGATATTCAAGGACAGTCTGTGCATTCATACTGTGGACAAACTTTACGGAGTTTCCCACTTCAGCTCTGGGGCCGTATTCGAATTGCTGATCTTTCCCCTTCACCGTCATATACAAAGTACGAGGAGCAAGGCTGTATTGCACCAGCCACCAGCTCTGACTTGATACTTTCACCCTTCTTACCTTAGATTAAGGCTACTTAGCTCAGGTACGTTCCCCAACCATCCTTTCTATCAATTCACCAATGGTTTTCTTCCGTAGCCGAGAATCATCACTTTCCATCGCTCGATCAGATCACCACAACGTCCGCTCGGTTCCCAACTATTTCCCATTTCATGTTAACTCTGAACCAACTGGTCGCAGCTAGACTCTCTGAATATGATATGTCAAGTATTATGTTAGCGATTTACTAATTATCAATAATGGATAGCCTCAATGCACTGAGACATACTACAAAGGTACCAAGCTAGCAATAAGTCATAACCATATTTGTACCTTCTGGATCATGGTTGACAGACCCAGCCTGTTGAGATAATTCCAACTAGCCGCCAATGGCTGCGGGAAATTCAGCGGCTGGTAACTATATCTATCCGATTCGATTAATCGCGGCTAGTATTAATATTGATGAGTTATAGTTCCGCCGTCCTATCTAGTATCCAAAGGAAATAAATGATCAGGTGATAGGCTGTGCTGAATGTGATAAAATAATTCGGTTGACTGTTCTTACATGGAATGGACTCTGTGCATATCTTCCCATCTCGCGGTGAGGAAGCAGTCCCTAGTGGATATAGATTGCCCTCGTGATCAACAGGGCTTTTCCACTGCAGGTCAATTGACAGGTCTGGGGCTGGCCTTGCACAATCAATCAACTTAATACATTCTTTCTTTGGCAAGGGTAAATCGTAGAATCTCAGGCTGACTACATAACCATGGAAAATCCAATCCACTACACCACTGGCGTGGGACTCAAGATGTCAATGGCCTTGTCAGCAACAATGATATGTTAGAATATTCCCGTGGGCCTTTCCATCTCGTGACCCTGTCTCATGCAATCCTGACCTCTGCCATCGCTCGCATTTGCCAATGCTCCTCGTACCTAGATAGTGGCATTCCAATTCTCGTCCTTTGACGTGGGAAGCCATCCATTCTGGTTATTTTCTGCCAGCAAGCCCTTTCTCTTGAGTATTAATCGTGATGACTATCACTCAATGGACCAGAACCAGAATGTGGCACCTGGTCTGTATCATGTTCCTACCGGTACTGATAGAGCCTGGAATACCCCTATCATCGACCATGTTGATATATGTTTCTAATCCTCCGTGAGTGAGATATCTTATCCCGCAGCAGGCGATATGTGAGATCCAATCGTCCAGCCTGGGATCATGTGGCTGGTCCGAGCAGATATCGAGGTCTCGGTCTGATTTTGGTGCCTCAGCATCATATCCATCTCACAGGGCCCTTGGCCATGTACCAAGCAATGATATCCGTAACAGACATTGCCTATGACTGAACAAAAAGATGTAGTCTTCCCATTAACCCTAGAACCCTGTCGAACTGCCAGGAGGCAAACGGGTTCATCGATCAAATCAACGTGAAGCCACTTACTTCCAGGTATCTGGCACGTACGTCAGCTTCAGGGCATACGTATACGCGCTCATGCCGAATAATGCTTGGCACTGTTGCAAACCAGTCCAGAACAACCAGCACCTCCATTAACACATCCGCGAAGGGAGCACATTCATTGCAAGTCGAAGTAGAAGATTCTCGTTTCAGTCAAAATATCAGTTTAGCTGCTATCCGTACATGCAGAGTTTTGTCATTTTTAAACCATGTAATTCAACAAGTAACGTCACCGAGGAAACGAAAATCTGAAGTTGCGATGTGACGGGGACGGACCCTTCCAAAGGTCGAACACATAAACAAACCCAGGCCATGTTCAAAGAGGCTACGACATTGTGGATTAAACAAACAAACGAAGTCACATTTGCGCCGACGCTTCCTATCATCAAGCCCATTACCGTCCGGTATAAGTGGAGTATCTGCCAGAGAGACCACCACGTTAGTGTCGCCTGAACAACTGCGCTGGACTCAATTTCACTGATAAGAATTGAACGTGTAAAAACGTACCTCCAGATTCTTGCCCGCATGTCGCCACTGCCAGTGGCGAACAAGTTGCCTGTAGGGCTGGGGGCAACCGAGATGACTGTAAAACACAGTTAGATCCTGGAAATGTTTCGAGATCCACCAGCGAATAAAGCAAGACAAATTAGGGAAGAGGTGCTGACCGGAATTCTTGTGTCCCTGGAGCATCATCTGTGCATTACCAGTAATGGGGTCCCAGAATTGAACACCCCGGTCCTTGGAACCGCTCATAACCCAGTGCCCATCGGGAGTGAGACACACGCTCAGAACAAAATCCTATCCAGTAAAATTAGCATCGATCGAGCATACTTCTTCCGAAGGCAGGCAGCATCATATTGGATATACCTTGTGGCCCTCAAATGTGCGCACACATTTACCGCCCTTCACGGCATTTGTATAGCCGGCCCGGGGGACGCTTAGTTCCCAGAGCTTGATCGTCTTGTCAAGGCTGCCACTGACCAGATCCCGACCATTGGGAGCAAATGCGACTGAGTAAACGCTATCCTTATGCCCGTCAGGGCTCTCCAAACGCTCCACAAGATATCCAGTGGTGGTGTCCCAAACACGGACACTCTTATCCAAGGAGCCGGCCGCAACGTAGTGGCCGTCGGGAGACATGGCTACAGTGGTCACGCCGTCCTCGATGCTGAGAGTGTAGACGAGTTTACCGTCGAGGATATCCCAGAGACGTACGGTCTTGTCTCCGCTGCCTGAAGCAATGTATCGACCATTGCCGGCAAAGTCGAGCGAGTAAATGTCTTGCTCGTGTCCGGTGAAGATATGTTTAATAGTACGCGCCGCAATGTCCCACACCTAGATGCATTTGTATTAGCCCCCGGTCTTCCAAAAGAAGAACAACTCAACATACTCTGATTTGCTTGTCTTCGGCTCCGGTGGCGAGGTACTTGCCGTCAGGACTGAAGCAGACGCTGCGAATATAAAGGTCCCCATCCTTGTCTACGCTCTCGTCTTGCAGGGTAGCGACGATCTGGCCGGTGGTCACGTCGAAGATCTGAGCGGATCGGTTGCAGCCCGTGGCGAGGTATTTGCCGTCGCGACTGAAACGGACGCAGCAGACAACGCTGTCATGGACAAGGTGATGGACGAGGTCCACATCAAGCACTCGCTGAACTTCAGGGTTGAAGATCGCATACCAATCGGCCCCCTCGCGTTTCTGCGAAGCGGGCAAGTCATCGGGGTTCCAGTTAGCCAGCATATTCCCGGGACGTTCGCCGCGAGACGTCACGAGGGCCTGACTAGGAGGGGTGGGACGCGCAATTTGAGGGGACACGCGCGGGTCGGGGTACGCTAGCTGGTGAGTCTGTTGAGGAGTTGCAGGCCCAGGCGGGGCGCGAGGCCTCTTGCCGGGGCCAGGAGAAGCGGTCGGAGGTGGCGCGGGTCCGTAGCCTGAATAGAAAACGAAAAACATCGCATGGTCAGATGCCAGAGAACCGAAAGTAAATACAGTCAGAACATACCGTTCACAGCAGCACCAGGCTGATATCCTCCAAAGGAGCTCTGCGGCGGTTGGGGCGCTGATTGCTGAGCCGCGGGAGCAGGCTGTTGAAGGGTATGCTGGGGAGGCTGCTGATCCTGGGGAGGGGGAGGGGCAAGACCGGGACCACTACCTCCTTGGTTGGTCATGATTCCACCGAACAAATTGCTGGGGCCATGGCCCAGGGCTGGTGGAGGCGCCTGAGAGGGGCCAGCATGCTGCGCAGGGCCAGCAATATGAGACGAGACGGGCTGAACGCCGCGCGATTCGAGCTCGTGCCGCAGGACTCGGATTTCTGCTTCGTAACTATTTTATTGGAAAGCGAGATTATGTGTTAGCAGCCAACTATGCGTTTTCTGCTTCCATTCTCCCTCAAGTTTGGGGATCGAAGGTACGAACTCTTGCTTCATCTTGATCTGTGCCTGCTCCAGCTGATATACCTTCTGACGAATCATCTCCATCTCCTGGAGTTGACCGGTTACTGGAGGAGATAGTTAGCGCGGTTCGACGATAACTTTGTAAGCAATGAGAAGTCTCGTGCGGCACCGTAGTCCAGCCCACATGTCAATCGGGGGAAGAATGAACGACCACGATGTGCTTCCCCTCCCGACGTCCTGAGAGAACAGATGGACAAAAGGCGATATGGTCGCACATAGAAGTGGGAGCGTTGACATGACCAAAGAAATATAAAAAGACATATAAGAAACATACATTGGTGCTCGAACTCTCCGGTGCTTCTAGACTGGTTCTCAAACTCCTGGCGCAGCTGGTCCAGCAACTCTGTAAGACGGGAGTTGGGAGCGGGAACCATCCCACGGTGTGTGTTGTACATTTTGCACGTCAAAATTTGATATCAATCGCTTCGAGAAAATCAAGATCGGAGTGCGATCTAGTCCAGTTGCAAGGATGAATGTAACAGCAACGTGTCGCGACAGATCGATGCTGACGATTGAAGGAAGAGGGGGGTTTCGGTTTGATATTGGATGACACTCTCAAGGCACTGCAGATGGAGACGCAAGTCAAACCTGTCGCATCACAGCGCGACAGGGACAAGCCGCTGCAATGATGCAGGAGAAGGAAAAGGCGGGCGAAAGGGAGGGGAGAATTGGTTGATGTGGTGTAAGTGTGTGTGAAGAAGAGCAACGGAAGGAGGAGGCTAACAGAGTTGAGTAGCAGGTAAGGTTGGTAAGGTAGGTAGGCGGATAGGTGTCGAGCTGGGACTTTGGGGCTCCCAAGACTCAGCAGCCAGTGGGCCAGTAGTAGTGCCTTAGTAAGCGTGCACTGACACCTGGACACATATGTTATATAAGATAGGTCGCATAAGGTCAGATCCTCTGTAGGGTAAAGAGGGAAAAAGTCAGCTGGGGCAAGCGGCTAACGTTTGCCGCCAAGTCTCCAGAAGCGAAATCGCGCGCATTGGCTGGTTTTGGACCGTTACCTAAGTCGGTTAGTGTTTACGCTAACCTTTAAAGGTAAAGTTCGTGCCTGACTTGCCATTTGTGTATTAGCACTAGTGGGGCACGACTTGAGTGGTAAAAGAAACGTGAGATGTTGAGAACCGTTTGCAGACAACCTTAACCAAGGTCAAGCGGTCAATGACACAGACTCAAGACAAGTCTATTCTGGCAAGGCAGAAAGAGCATCGGATCCAAACCTTATGTCATGTTTATTGATCATTAAGTATTATCCTCTCAGTGTTTAACCTGGGGCAACGGTATCTGGCAGATACGTCAAGATTCCGTACCGATCGTATCCACCTGTTGGACACATCATATTATATACCTTGGCTCCTTCAACAATTAAGGTATTCTGAGGTTACTTGGGTACAGTCTTGGGTCCAGTGTAAAGATTTTTGATATTGGATGGCGCCTATACACCTATGTCTTGTCACTGTATTCAATTAAAATGAGGTTCGATACCACTCGTTGCTCCTTACCTAACGAACATCAATCAGTGCAGACGGAGGAGTAGGAGCTTCGATCCGCCCCAAACTTCCCAGAAGGCGTCCTGTACCTACAGGGGATTTTCATTATTATCAAGTGATCGTTACCTTCACCTGGAAGTCATCATTGGGCTCATCTAGGCAACCCAGACCACGGATTAGATATTATCCCTAGACACTACTTACTCTACGAGCCGAATCCACTGGAGGGATCGGCTGTGCCTGTTCCGCCCTCGTGTGATGTGTGATGACCACACTACTGCAGGGTCGACATTCTGTGGTTCTCCTGATTCGAAGTCTTCAAAACATTATTATTATCATTATTTTTTTTTTTATTAAACCTCCTCCATCCACCACCTCATCTACTCTTTTGCTCTCCTCCCCTTCCTGCACTGATGTCCTATCTTTCGTCTTGTCTCTAAATTCATATCTCTGTCATTGTATCGCACTTGACCCTCCACTGACTGACTGACTGGGCTGCGCTCAACCCCTGCCAATTTTCTTCTCTGGCGCAAAAAATAGTTCTCATTTACCCGGCACCATGGATATCGTTCTTGAGGTCTGGGACACCTTCATCGGGGACCGTGTGTATTCGGCCCTGCTTCCCGTATCACTTTCCTCGACGGTCTCGTTACCAGGCTTGACCAATGCTGCCAATAGCTCTTTGTCCTTGTTTGGTGCCTCCAAGCCGTTTGTGTACGAACCCGCCACTCAACTGTTCCAACTGGAGCCGTCTAAGTACGCCTATCTGAGCGCATGGCCCAGAAACAATATCTACCGCCAGTTCCTGAGTTTCTTTCTGATTGTTTGGTATGCAAAACCCTCTTTGAGCCCAACCTCTCCAAAAGACGGTTAACTAATGATTCGATTTTATTTCAAAATAGGATTTTCGGCATTATCGTTTACTTTATTTCCGCGACCCTCTCCTACATCTTCATCTGGGACAAGACGACGGTCAAGCACCCAAAGTTCCTCAAAAACCAAATTACCATGGAGATTGCGCAGACCATGCGATCGATGCCCGTCATGTCGTTCCTGACCGCTCCTTTCTTGGTCGCCGAGGTTAGGGGATACGCCAAGTTGTACGACACCTTCGACGAAGAGCCATTTCCGTACTATAGCATTCTACAGTTCCCTCTGTTTATCGCCTTCACCGATTTCTGCATCTACTGGATTCATCGTGGCTTGCACCACCCGCTGATCTATAAGTCCCTTCACAAGCCCCATCATAAGTGGATCATGCCTAGTCCCTTCGCGTCGCATGCATTCCATCCCTTGGATGGTTGGTCGCAGAGTGTTCCTTACCACGTTTTCCCGTTCATCTTTCCCCTGCAGAAGCTGGCCTATGTTTTTCTCTTCGGCTTCATCAACCTGTGGACGGTAATGATTCACGATGGAGAATATGTTGCCAACAGCCCAATCATCAATGGGGCTGCTTGCCACACAATGCACCACCTCTACTTCAACTACAATTATGGACAATTCACGACGCTGTGGGACCGCCTCGGTGGGAGCTACCGGAAGCCCAACGAGGAACTCTTCCGGCGCGAGACGAAAATGGACGAAGCTGAGTGGAAGAGACAGACCAAGGAAATGGAGACAATTCTCAAAACAGTCGAAGGCGAAGACGACCGCAAGTATCTGTCTCAAGAAGAGGCTAAAAAGGATCTTTGATATCGTCGCGCCATGAAGTACGCCAAAGTCCTCCAGTTATGACAGACTGCGTTGGCGGAGAATATATCCGAATCGCGCTCCGTTGTGAATAGATCGACTACTCTATAGAGGTGAGAAACAAGAAACAAAAAACCCCGTCGAAATGAAAACGAGGACCCCGACATAACCCCCTCGAACGCTTGGACAGGTTGGTCCACAACCTTGACGTGAATTATGACTGTTATGTGCTTTCACATTTTCCCTTTCTTGGCCATTGACCATCCCTAATCATCTTTGTACAACACTGATCGTTCCCTGTCTTCCTTCATGGTCATTTTTAATTGTATCATTTTAATTATCTGGTGACTTGGTTCATACGTGGAGGTCTGGAATCTTCTCTTCCATCCTTGCTTTGTGGCAGGACCTCTGCAAGTTTGCTGTATATAATCCATAAATTCTTAGAAACTCATACCAACATCGCATCAATTGAACCTACTGAATACTCATAGTTGCCTTCAAGCGAAATATTACAACGCCAACCAGATCCATGAGGGTCCCCTCTTGGCCGAGGACTTATGGGAGATTCCACAAGTGTCAAGACATTATTAGGTGTGGCTCAAATGCAGGCATAGCAGACGAAACGACCACGATTGAATGTGTATCAAACAAGGTCCGGTAAAGAATGCCGAAGATAAATCAATAAACAAGGAGGACAGAGTATTTTTGTTTTCGTTGCGTTTACCTTAATCCCACAATGACCTATCAATACATAGCTTCAAAGGAAACTCAACAAATGCGGTGACTCAGTCAAGCAAATCGGCAGCGAGGCTGTTTGGGTCCAGAGGGACTCCCTACGAAATATCCACGGCTTCATCTGCGCCAGCAACGTCCATGTCTCCATCTGGTGCTGCATTCGCGGCCGCCCCAGTCTCAGAGGTAGCAGCCTGGGGCGCAGGGGCGACCGTCCCGACGGGTGTGGCATCAGCCATGGCTTCGGTGATGAATGATTCTTCCACACCAGCCTTGCGCCTGAATACCCTGAGCCATCGGCGACCCCACTGACGGATGATTTCGTCCTCTGGAAGGTCCCCACTTCCATCACCTCTCTCCATCAGTCCATCATTACTACCGCCAGCGACCGACACAATAGAGTCTTCGATCACTCTGAAAAGAGCTTGCATATCGGCCTTTTCGCGGCTCAAGGTCTCATCCAAGACACTCAATTGAGGTTCATACAAACCCGGCTGGGTGCGTGCAGCCACAATCTGCCGCAGACGGTTGGTGACCTTGCCAACCGTAGCAGAAATCATCTCAAAGATATGTGTTCTGCTAAGAATTGTTCCTGCTTCCAACCTCTCCACCAGGGCCCATTCGATGACAGATAGGGGTGTCAGAATCGTGTAGTTCAACAGCTTGTCGATAATATTGATGGCGACGCCTGGTTGATCCACCCAGTACTCCATCACCGAGGTGATGATCTGACAACGGGCACGAGCTGATTTGGGCCCAATCGCCAACAGCCTTTCCTTGTTCCGCTCAATGCATGACAAGACGTGAGAAAGAGACTTGGAGCCAACGAAGCAGATAGACGTGACAAAGGCATCGGTAGAGGGCAACATAGGATCGTCGACTCCGAGAGCCTTCGCTTGCTCCTCGATGGCGGTGATCAGTGGTTGAATTTCCTCATCGCCCGCTTTTTTGCGAATGAGTTGCATGATCTCTCTGCCTTCTTTGGCGTAAGGAGTAGCTGTAGGAATAAGGATATTAGTGAACCCTAACGAGTAGGTAGAACGAGGATGACATATGAGGTAAGACTCACTATCTGAGGAGTACTTGAAATCAGGAGTATCCTTCTCCTTTCCTTCGGTTATCAAATCCTGGTACGGATCTGGCAGAGTTCCTCTGATGCGTTGGGCAAAGCTCAATCGAATCTCTTTGTCGATAGCGCCCGTAATGAACGCCATTCTTGGATGGACAAGTGGAAGCTCGAGGTCCTCGATCCTGAGACCAAATGTTAGCATACAGTCAATGATTTCGGATCAAGTTCACCAACCATTCGCTCCATTTCCACGTGAATCCAAAGTTGCTCAGGTGATGAGCGAACCAATCCAAGAATCGGTGTATGAGCTCCAAATCAATCGTGTCAAGGCTTCGATACAGGAAGCGAATAGCCCTACCCAAACTGGGAGCAATTGCAGCGGGCGCAATCTTGCAACATTCAGTGAGTACCGAGTGATAGTAAACCAGCTTGTGTTCTGGGGAAGGAAGCTGGAATAGTTGGGAGAAGACGGCGTCGACGGCAACATCCTCAGGCTTCCACGTAGGGCGATCCCCAGGGAAATCGCGCAGCCTGTCAAAGGGCGTAGCACGCTTCACAAAAGTGTTTGGTGTGAAATAACAATCCACATCTATCAAAAACTTGGCAGTAGCGATGCGGCTGAAGTCGAGGATGTTGATTGTATCGACGAGAGCTTCTCTCAACAAAGACGATGCAATGTCTGATGTCGGAGGGACTGTCTCCAAGTCTTGATTGGCGTATACAGAGATGTAGATTTCGGGGAAAATAGCCCTGGCCCCTTTTCGTACAGGATTTGGGACGGTGATCTGAGGGAAGGCATGTTTAGCCCCAGCTTCTATAGGACCATCTTCTTCGCCTTCCGACCTCTTCCAGGGCCGAGGAAGGCAAGCAAGCTCCCATCCGCGGTTTGCCTCGGCTTGGAGTTGGTTCTGAAGCAAGCCGATGACACTCTGCACAGCAGTTGGTTCACCATCCTGTAAAGCGAATGGATTCACCAAGTCAACTAGAGCATGCGGCGTTGAGGCGATGATGTCTGTTTTTTCCAAGAGTGCACTTGCTTGTGCTTCAAACCCGGTGGCCGGAGACGCCATAGTGTATGGAATCGTGAAGAGAATGATTTTGACGAGCTCGAGTCCTAGCAACTATAGGGAAGACATCAGTACCCAGCAAGGGATATATTTGAAGAAATGTTGAGGATAGTCCACTGACATCTTCAGATGACGCGGTTTGGAGATCAACCGCACGTGCAAAAAGTTCCTCCAGGACTGGAAAGACACCGTCTCCTTCGAAAATAGATTGAAGGCAACCCAGAAATCGAAGAAGAAGCTTAACCTCGCGCCAGGCTCCGGCATCAATGTACTGTTGCAGTGATTCGCGTGCTCGTTTGAGGACATCTTCCACAAGCTCTGATTTATAGCTATTGGCGACCAGAACTGTAGCGGCGATAAAAGGAATCTTCAACGGTTGCTCTATGACACTACCAGAAAGCCGAAAGGTCAGCCCTGGACGGCGCACGGGAGATTGGAGTTGAACTGAGAGGTTAATCTCACATACAGATCAATGGATATATCGACATAGCTCTTCCTCAGCTCTTCGTCCTCATAGTTCTCTGCGACACTTTTTGCGATGACCACAACGTCGTCCTCTGCTTTTCGAGCAGCCTAGAGCGCATTTACATGTAAGTTTCACGAATTGCGATCGGTAAGACCCAGGTCATATGCGGTAAGGGAGCTCATACAGACTCAGCAAGAGTTAGCAGCTGTCGTCGGACCTTGACCACGAGTGGCTCTTCGTATCGGCGCCTCTGCGGACGCCGGTCATAATCCTCATCATCTATGGACCACCGGCGCAATGTTAGTTCAATCCAAACCGGCAAGGAAAAGACCTTCTACTCAGCCAAAGGCAGAGCAGTAAAAATCTCAATTATCGTAGACCGACCTCTATAACGCCTCTTGCGCCCTCCCCTTGAGTGGCCGTGTGGTCGGCGTTCGTAGTCAGCCATGTTACGATTGCACGACAGATCTCAACTCGCGAACAACAATTGACTCCAACAGAGTATCTATCCGGTGGATACTCAAGCTGGAGTTGTCTCTGACACTTAAAAAATAGGATCACGGCCCCTTTCGTTGGCAAAGACCAGGTAGTTCAGTTGGAGCCAAGTACCGCGTGCCAGAACAACAGCTTCGGCCGGCGCAAAGCTGGAACATTGGATGTTCCGTTCCATGGCTTATATAAAAACACCCACTGATAGTTAACTATGGGACCTTGGCCCTGATAACAGGAGGTAAGCGGACTCATCTTCCTTACTTTGAAGATAGGTATATAACAAGTCAGCTTCTGAAGTCAGGTGAAAGCAGACTAGTATCTACCAGCTTCAGTGGTCACTGATTCTTGTGAAACCCTATACCAGCTTAACCATCCATCAGAGGAAGAGCGCCTGTAAGGATCATTTATACTCAGGATGATGAGTAGACTATGGAAATGACTTTCTTTTCTGGAAATAAGTAGCGACCTCTAGTTCTCTAGTTCTCGAGTCTCAATTCTCTCTTTCTTTGATGGAGATCAACCAGAGCGTGCACAAGTGCCAGCGAATTAGGAGGCTCTGGGATACCAAGTCCATACAGCACAACTTTCAGGCAAGATCCCATGTATTTCATCAGAGGAAAATAGAGAGGAGAGGCAGCACGAAGAAAAGATACACGTATCTGTGTTTATACATACTAGCGAACGAGAAGTCCTCAGACATACAGCTTGAGAATCTCTGAATGTATAAGGAGGTGTAGAAGCAGGTTATCCTCTTGGCATTTAAAAAACAGCTGTGATCACCGTTGGCCAAGTCGAAATTCACGTTGTCATCGAAGCCAAACAGGTGAAAATCGGACGTTAGAACAAACAAGAGTTTAGAGAAAATCAGAGGGAAAGAGAGATGGAAAGAGCTAAGGACACAAAAATCGAAAATGAGGTGTGAACACAAGGAAGGGGGCTTCTAAAGCTGCAGGTTGAGCGGGCCATGGGACCTCCAATACCGGTACTCGGAGCACACAGACTGACGAAAAAAACACAATGTAAGGTAGCTCCAAACCGAGGAATTCCTCACAGTATCTGTAGCCATTGCAGGGTATGGATCACTTCGCATTTCTCAGTAGGACTTGCGGCATTGGAGTGGTCATGACCTCCTTCAAACGAGAATGAAGCTATGCAAACTTAAATCCCCGAAGGCAGACTCGCACACTAAAGGGTATCACTTTTTTTTCCTTTCCCAAGAGCTGTCTCAGACACCTCGAAAACTCCAGACTATGACAATCCCTCAACCCCGTTGCATGAAACTGTCATGATGCACCACCGCCTCAGGAAAACCGCTGATGTTGTTACCAGAATGCGATGTTTCTGTATTTCCCATTCTTTTTTTTTTTCTTCACTTTTCTCCTTTTTCAGCTTTTCATTTGAATATGGGATTTGCCATGTATCCTCATACGCTCAGAAGAGATGCCAACTTCCGGGTGCCTAGCCAGCGACTTTGGCCGACAAGTTCAATAAGAGCAACTTCTAGTCCAAAGACATCTTAGTGCACAAAGTGGATTGCATGGCATGACATCATATCCTCGCGCAATTGTGCAAATAGAAGCACTATCGAACGGGCGTTTGATTCGTAACGTGAAACGTATCGGCTCAGTCGAGACGTGCCATCATCTCCTCCTTTGTAAGTGGAGTGAAGTTGTCAATGTCTAGCCCCCGGGACTCGAGAGCGGCGCGTGCATGAGGGGGAACCAGCCGGCTGTTCAATGCGGGTGCAATAGAAAGTTCTACAAAAAAGAACCGTCAGCGAATCAACCATCTGGAAGAATGAGGTTGGACCTCAATTGATAACGAACCATGTCTGGAGAAATCGAAGAGATTGGGGAGGTCCTTAGCTGCGCCACCAGGGTGCCGAGAGTCGGGCAGTCGGGTATTGGGATCTCTGAGTTCGTCGAAGAACGGGTGGCACATCGCCTCGATAGCGGAGAGACGTTGTGTCGGCGTGTATTCCAGCAAAGCCGAGATCAGATCAATGGCCTCGTGAGGAGCTCTCCGGAATACCTGTGTGATATCGAGTTAGTATACATTCGCAAGAAGTTCCTTCAGAGCGTGTTCACCTTATTGAATGGGTGTGGCTTAATTTGAGGAAATTTATGCTCCATATAGTTTGGGTTCATGGTGCGGATCTGCTCCCGAGTAGGGGTACCAAGGACTTTGATGATTTCCACCAGTTGGTCAATTCCCGACTCCCCAGGGAACAATGGCTGGCCAAGCATAAGTTCAGCCATCACACAACCCGTGGACCACACGTCTTGACGATCATCAGCAATGACTCCGTCAGATTTGAAGCAGGAATCAGTGAGGACTTACCGATTTTCGTTGTGTAATTCGTGGCGCCGAAGATCAATTCCGGCGCACGATAGTAGCGGGAACAGATATAGGAGACGTTGGGCTCATTCTCTACCAGAATCTTGGCCGAACCAAAGTCGCAAAGCTTGAGGATGCCGGTGTTTGGATCGAGTAAGAGATTCTGGGGCTTGATGTCACGGTGGCAGATGCCTTGTGAGTGGATGTACGCCAGGGAACGGAACAATTGATAGATATACAGCTTGACTTCCAACATCGGCATAGTCGTTTTCAGTTTATTGAAGTACCGCGACGCCCGATAGACGGTTTCGGGTACGTATTCGAGAACGAGGTTTAGGTACACTTCATCCTTCTGTTAAAGACAATGGTAGGGTAGTCAGCAAAAGGCTACTTAAGGACGGAAGGGGAAACACAGGAGAGCGGCATACCCTCTCGCCGTTCGAGTAGTAGAAGGCTTTCAATTCTACGATGTTAGGATGGCGAACAATCCGCATGATCTGCAATTCTCGATTCTGGTATCTCGTCAGCGACAGTATCTTGGGGTTGGGCAGCGAGGCAATTGCCCTGATAATGTACACATACTTTGAAGCGCTTGTCTTGAAGGACCCTCTTGATGGCAGCATCCTCGCCGCTTGGCATCATTTTCGTTTGAAAGACGACACCAAACGATCCATTGCCGACGATTTTACATTGTGAGTACGAAATCTCTTTGGTTTCCCCTGTCAGTCCATCCTGGACCTTCTCGCGGACGACTTCTGCATGGTCGGACAAGCGAAAGTCAGTTCCACAGGCTCCTGGGTAATGTTTTCTGAACAATGGAACTCAGCATTTGGGTTTCTTACCGCCCATGCGCAGATTCGAGAACACCCCAGGTCGATTTTGTGACATCACGGGCAACTTGTGGGGTTGGCAACAAGAGGGGGTTGGGCAGTGCTATCGAGAGTATGGAGGGCTGCACTTCAACAGTGAATGGCGGAAAATAGCGTAGAAGGGAGTTCTGAAGTCCGTTTTGGGCAGACTGCAATCGATGGTGGAGCAGGAGGAGGGGTGTTCGCTTTGGATGGGCGGAATATCCGAATGGTGGATGTTGAGTGGAGGTGCGCGTGAGATGGAAAGGTTGAGAGAGGCGGACTTATGGGCGGGCGAATCGCAGGTGGTAGGCTCAGAGCAAGGACCAATGGACTTGGCAACAGTGCAGACACAGGACCACAGCAGGAAACCTCCAAGGAAAGAAATAATAATTGATTCGTTTGGAAAACAGAAACGAAGATGATAAATGAAAAAATAAAATTGGAAAAAGATGAAAAAAGAGGCAGGCGTGAAAGTACTTGAATGGCGAGGCAATTTGCAATTTGGCGTCTACAGTTCAGAAATTATATTGATTGATGTCCTCGAAAGGGAGTGAGGTCGGAAAGGAGAGGAAGAAAGGGAGCACAAGTGAGAGCGAGAGGGAGAGAGATTAAGGTAGTAGGTTAGAGAGAGAGGGAGAGGGTGGGAGAACACTGAGGGAGAGCAGGTGACGTTGATGGAGCGACGAAGCCCGAACACGCGAGGTCTGCAGGAACACGGGAATAAAGAACCGGGAGATCAGGAAGAAAAGCAAGGAACGCTCGGGCTATCTTCAGTCAAGTAGGAGCGTTCTAAAGACTGATACTAAGAAGATTTGAACTGTCAAAAAACATTCAAGCGAGGAAGCGTCTTGATGTCGAGCCGGGGGGTAAAGAGAAATAATAATAATAGATCGTAGTGAGATCGAAGTTCACTATGGCGCTGGAGGAGGCAATAATTTGGGGCAGAGAGGAGGGGGCGGGACTACTAGAGACTACCACTACTGCTGCTGCTATTATTTAGTTGCGGCAGCCAACCCACAAGTTCACTAACTGAACGATCCTGAGGTAGGGCATGCGGCCTAATTGTAGATTCTTAATGAATTATGAATAATAATGAGCTACAGAATGGCAGTACTTAGTAGCTAGATAGTAGTACCTGCTGCATAGGCAGTTGTGGCAGTGTGTGTAGATGAGGCAAATGATAACGTCTAGGAATGTCTTTTATTGGCGCACTCTAGTTTTCTGTTTATGGCCGCAGACATGATGTACTGATACTCAAGTTGAATACTCCGTACCTTAGTTTCCTCCTTTCTCCTTTCTCCTTTTTTCAATTTAGTCCAATCTTATACGCCAAAAGTCTACAGTAACAGCTCATGGGCAAGAATGATTGCTCGAGTGATTTATGACAGTACGTACCAGCCAGAAAGTGGAGAGCCAGATATGGATTTGCTTGCCAGGGGCCCCAGAAGAGCCACGGAAAAGAGGGGCATATGCTAACTACCTTTTACCCTAAGTCCCTAACTACTTACCCAATGGTCAATCTGATTTAGGTATATGTATGTATGTATGTATGTATGTACGGATACAGTACCTTACAAGACCTGTGGGTACCTCCAGCTATCCATCCATGACGCTATATTTCCCTTGCAGGAATCGAAGTAAGGTGCCTATTTAGTGCCCTTTTGGGTGCACAGGCATACAGAGTGGACACCAGGGCAGTTTCATTGGACATGGCATCATCTACTATTCTAAATTGAGTCAGTAAGAAGTGAATGATGTCAAGTAGAAAATCGTCCACCACAGCCAGTTAGTATCTATCTAGTCATCGTCCAACCTTAGATAACTGAACATAGTATTGTTTAGATGAACATGTCTCAAGCCGTTGGAACAAACTAGGCACAAGTCTCTACAGACTATCTACGGCAAAACTTGTGCTACTACCAAATGTCCAATAACGACGGCGGCTTATGTGGGACCTTCGAGCTTGGATGGTAGTAGGTACGGAGTGCCTATGTAATAATAATAATGCCAAGCTAAGGAAAAGTAATGCACCTTAAAGCAGTCCATATTCCTATTGGCAAAGCCAGGTGACCAACTGCCAACTGCTACGAAGCCCATGAGCACTCAGGAAGGGAAGTTGATCAGATACTAGTTATGTAGATGGTGCCCTAACATGTCTCGATCACCATGTTTAAATACAATTTGATTGCTTCCTTCTCTTCAATTCAGAAGCTGGACTTAGGAAAGAACGATTGCGTTCCTATAAACCAGATTTGAGAATTCATGCATTGCAGAGGGTATTCCATATATAACTGGATCAACTGGTCATGGATCACTATCATGCTCGCTCCGTGGAAGCTAAGCAAATGGACAAAGGGTGATCACATGCACACTATGGCATTTTAGGCGTAGATCCTCTGTCATTGATTTAGACTCTCAAGTGTCCTCCTGTATTTCTAGGTGTCACTCCTTGACTATAAATAAACGCAATGGTTAAGAGCAAAGAAGGGGAGGAAACAGCTTTACAAACACTATGGTACTTGGATGGTACTTGGATGGTATATCACATAGTAACACAATTATGATGATAGGTTTCAGATGTAAAGTGTATTACTGGAGCATTCTAAAGAGAAAACACAACATTCATGAAACCAGAGCAACTTTTGGCCACTCAATTTAGTGGATATGCTGGTCATAATTTGAGATTATCACTTTAGGACTTTGTGTACCTCTTACTAGTACTAGGTAATTATTTCTAAGTACCTTACCAAGCTCAGTCACTTTACTACTTTACCGGGAGCTTAGGTAAAGGAGAGGCACCAGGCGCCATGTGTCTGGTCGGCGGTGTCAAGTGACCAGCCATGATTTTCACTGGAATGCACCTGATTGGCTGCCTATCCTGCTGCCCACTCACCCGACGTGTCCAAGTAACAGAATTGGTACAATCTCGAGCCGCCGCATACTTGCGCCGTCCATGATCTAGATCTCTACTTAACATATTAGCTACCTTAATGATTCAGCCCACCCTGCTGACTTGAGAGGTACTGACAGGTACCATACGTAGGCAGCTTGCGATCATTCCCCAGTCTACGGTGAAATTATCTGCTTGTCAAGTGACCAAAAACCCCTTGGAGTCGGGAATTAGCCTACAAACCAAGCTTGACGAACTGCGCCACCGTTCTGTTGGTCTTGAAGCACGACTGTGGCACGCGTTGCCTGTGTATATACGTAACATAGATAGACACTTGTCAGGATTAGATAGTCCGAAATGATAAGCCAAGATTGGTATGGTTTATCGTTTTTCGGCCGCCCATGACATGGATCAGGACAATCCGCCGCTGGCACCGAAATGCCACCGATCGTGATGAATCACCCCCCATTCATGACAGCAGCTCTTGTACACACTTTCGACATGGGATTGTAGACTGAAGCTGGCATGATGGACTGCGTCTCTTGTAGTGAAGAAGCGAGGGAGCCAAGGGCCATCCATGATTGACCTAGACAACAAATGACAGCAACATGCGCAAGGCTTCTACAAGGGCATTTGGGATGAACAAAGTCTTTGGAGATATGAGAATAAGAAATGTGCTCGGCTTTTCCCCATGAAAGTCACTACTACCGGATTGGATCTGCGAACGGACTGGGCATGCCGTTGATGCTTCTAGTACTTCTAATAGTGCTATTCCGGTCCGTGGTTTCGGATTCTACGGTTTTTCGGCTTGTTAAATATGTGGCATTCTGGCCATTATTGAATTGTCATGCATATCCGTCTGGAAGTCTGACGGTTTTTGGTTAGTTGACTTGTTTCGCCTCAAGCATGGTGGACATCACAACGTTCCTTCTAAGACCACTTGATATCAACAGGCAGGAAATCAGTACGCCGCAGTCTCGGTTGTTACAAATATAGATCAAACGGTAGGCAAGCTTTAAAGAGAATGTCTAGAGGGAGATTTGCATATACTGCAATCAACACAGATAGGCGAGCAGTGCACGGGGTATTGTGGTGTGAGTACTCGGAGACTTCCCAATACGATATCGGTTGCAGAAGTACCTTACCTACCTACCTACCTTAGGTAGGTACTTACCTGTACCCTCCCTAAATACCTCCCGAGTTTCAGCCCATAGATGATTGACCCTTTGTCGGCGCCGGTCATGTATGTTGATAATTTCCTATTCCATGGTACCAGGCACCTCAATTCCAGCACTTGAACCAGACTGTGGGTAATGGAAGGTCATGTAAGTACTAGCGCCATACCTAGGTAGGTAGGTCTCTTTGGTGTGGTCAGCAGATCACGGTATTTGGGTCAATTTTCCGATTCTGAATTTGTTCTCAGGTGACTGAGGCTTGCATGGCACTAACTTCTTGGGTGGTAGGGGCTGCGATCCTGTGAGAAGACGATGCATATCATGCACTCTGGTTGCCAGGAATCGAGTCAATACTACAAATTCGCCATTGAGAATGCTTTATATCGCTGGGGGTTCGTGGTAATGCCGAACAGTGCGAAAAGTGGATAGACAAGTCAGTCATCCAGTGGCATGTCCCTAAATCAGTCCATATAGAGAGGTACTGGCAAATCAATCGTCCTGGTTGAAGTATATCTGAGACCAGGAGGGATATTTCTGACATTGACAGGCAGCTGCTGCCCTTTACCCGGAACCATCCATATTTGAAAAAAGTCGGACAGACAATGTTCGACTCTCAAATCTTTTCAGTCTTGACTACGTTCTCAAACACCTACCTTGGAAATACTGCTGCAGGAAGAAAGTCGTAGACCTCATCGACAACAAGTACTGATTGGTTGACTAGAACAGTGCTTAGAATCCCCCATCTGAGCATCTGCTCTATTTCACAGTCTAGTATTTTGGCGATTATTTAGCTGTTGAAGTATTCAATATTCATGATCTACCAGTGCAAAACAGTAAAGATACCACCTCACTGATACTACTGTCCTCTATCTACCTCTCTGCTACTCTAAAAGTTCAAGTGATAATTTGACTGGGGGAAAATGATGTCACGGTGGGTCTGAAACAATTTACTTAGGCACTAGGACCATGGATATACCGCAAATCAGTAGGTATCTGCAGGGATTCAGGGAGTGTTAAAAGAACTCGAAATTAATCTCAAGTCTTCACCATCGCCCAACCTCGCGACTGCGAGATGTAAGTGGCCCAAAAGTCGCCACAGACAATGCCTAATCACTCTCGAAGGTCTACCTAACTACGTACTACTATCGAACCTTTTGCCTCTCCAACAATCCGCATACTGGATACTCCGAAAACGGGAACTTGATACCAATGTGTTAATTAAGGTAACAGACGTGGGGCTTGGGAAAACAGTGACTGTCGAGCCTCTGCACAAACGGCCTTTTTTAGCGAGCATATGTGGGCCAACAAGCTCACCTATAAGGGGTTGGAGTTAGGTACGTCAGGAGCTGAGCTCTCACGATACCATCCATTGTGTACCTATTTCCAGGGTATCTGAGCAAATCAGTAGTCAGCGTTCTGCACGAGCCGTTGACTAGCCTAGTCAAATCTCGTGATAGGTATGTATGTATTATGCTCGATACCATGCGTGGGTTGTCCTTCAGGAAGTACTCTTTAGCGTTTCAAAGGGCAGTGAGTTGAACAATTGAAGGATTGCATTGGACGACAACGCTGCATTGCTGACCTGTGCTTCCTCATTATTCCAATGTTATACAAAGTACAGGGTGCCACAGCATTAAGAGCCCATAGGCGATCTTGGCTTGTGTAGACTCGAATAACTCAACCCATCTGAAAGATAGGAGCTTCAGAGACCGATATTAAAATAGGCTGTTGCAGTTTTCGTTGAACACACCATGCTTTTCTGAGGTTGACTTGACATCAGATCTTGAATGTCAATTGGGTCGGGCATGGCCTCTATTCTGAGCGACTGGATGCTCTCTTGTCCCTTTCAAGAACTGCCTATCTATGTGGCTTGATGTCCAATGACAACTGCGGTGTTCGTTGATTCAGTGTCCACATACCCGTCGCCAATAGTCCAAATGCTAGGAAACTTAAATTGTTTTACATTGACCCCTCTAAGATGTCATGAACATAACAGCTTCCTGCCATCGCTTCCATGCATTTCAAGCTCTGCAGTCCCGTCGACAAGCCAGCATCGCCATCACAATAAAGGTGGGTTGGACAAGAAAAAGGAACAACAGTCTCATAGATGAAGCCATGACGCGGAAGTCGGAAGAGAAATAATAGGAGACTCCCCAATAAAAAGATGGATCTATACAAAAATTTGTTTCCCTGGCGCCAAATGACCGCCTTCCTGCACCAGCAAATCGCGTTCACGGGCATAACCGAGGTGATACACCATCTTCCAGACGTACAGGTGGAGAGAGAAGATCTAATAAGACAGATAGTGGAAGAATAATTTAAGCTGGATGGCGGAGCAGCCAAAAAGAGCCCCAGTTTCCCACAAGCAAGCGGGCATGATTAGCTCCAGCTATGCTTTAGGGAGGGTTTAGAAAGGAGGAGGGATCATGCCCTGAGCCTCGATCTTCTCCTGCTGCTCCATCAGTTCCTCGCCAGCGATCTCGAGGGACACAGCAAGACCAAGCTTGGCCGATTGCTACAATGCAACACGAATCAGTAACCATTTGACTCATCGTACACACAAGGTTGTATAAAATCAGACAACTCACCTTAGCCTGGTCAATTTCGCCAGCAAAAGTAAGAGAGATGGGCATGGCTATCCGCTTCTCCAGCAAGCAGCTAACCTTACCAGCGCTGTCAACCTGGGCACGGAATGTCGAAGCCCGGAAGTCGTACTTGGCTCCAATAGAGGTGGTCCCGTCTCTGCTAGGGCCCCCCATCAAAGCAGCTGCTGCATTAGGAGCAAACTGAAGGTTCATGTCAACACCAGCCTCAACACGCTCAGAGAGCTTTCTCCAATAGGAGGCAGTGAAAACGCCCTGAGCCTGCAGCTGAGCACTGGCAATCCAGTCGTTTGCCTTGTATCTCGCACAGTACGAAAGGGCAGTCTCTGGGCGGGCGTTCATAGCTTGACGCTGCCAGATCGCTTCGAATCCAAGGGCAAGGCTGGGAGTGATGGACTGAAGATAACTTCCGACAAAGATTCCCGTAAGGCCACCGTCAAGACAGGATGGGTTGAAGGCCTTAATAGATGCGGAGAAGTCATCACCGGTATAGTCGTTATCGATTTGCAGGAGGCCCTGGCTAGCACCGGCCATGATCTGAGTGTTGGTCTTGGTGACCAACTTGGGGTTCCATCGGTAGTTGAAAACAGCGGCGAGAGCGCCATCGCTTCCGAAGTTACCTTGCATGAAAACCTGACGAGACGAAATTTTAGTAACTGAATTTGGTACATTTTAAGGAGCCCATTTCATCGATTAAGCGATGAAGCATACCTTAGGAGTTCCATACATGGCCGAGAAGGCATATGGAGGCAGGTTGCCAGACCCGCCCATGGAGAAGGCGTGCGAGACACGGAACAGGGGAGACATGCCGAAAACCTTTGTCAAGTCTGCACGGAGACCACTGAACATAAAGTTAGACAGCAGGACCTCCTTCTGCACTTCCCTGGCAATGTTATCCACAGTTCCTGGGTTGGACAGGCCGAGGGCCGCCCTTCGCTCGGAGAACGAGTTGTATGCATCTTTGAGGGCAACGGCAGCGGAATTCTCCACGAGAAAAGAAGGAAGGGCTAAAAAGTCGGCCATTGTGGTTGTCTGTGTCGAAGTGAACTGGCGTGAAGTGGATGATCAGGAAATAAGGTTGACCGTCACGCGGGCTCGAGGGACGTCTTTCCTTCTCGGTGTCGATGGGATGAGGAAAGACGAGATCTGAGACCAGCCCCGAGATTGCACTTAGAACGTGACGAAGGCAACTTCGCTAGTAGTTACCGAGTAATTGAAATAATAGCAGGCTGCGTCTAACCAGCTCTAGGGGATTGCGACGGTAAGTGGAAGAGTCGCAGCGCAATAATTGTTGATTGATCTTCCCAAGCAGCCTCTGATGGGAAAAAAAGCGACATTTGCTTTTCCGCCCCGGCTTGCGTCTTTGGCACATACAGAGTCCCGAAGTCACAGGACTTGACACTATGCCGCTTCGGGCGGAACATTGGGGGCTTAATGATGGCGATGATATAATTGCAGATTGGTAGATGAAAGGTCAATGTTGGCTACAATAGCCTCTGTTATTGGCAGAAGACCGTCTTCTTCCCTTTAGCTTGCGAGAAAGATTTGAAAAGTTGTATGCGAAATTTCTAAGAAGCGCTGTCAAGTTCATCAAGTGTACGGCCCAAGGAACACTAGGCACACTTGACTACTTCAATGCCAGAATTGGGCTGTTATATTGAACGCCAGCTATAAGCACAATTCGCTATCGCCGACAAGGCATCTTTTACCAACCTCTAATCATTATTGGAGCGCGCAGGAACCTATTGCAATATATTTCCCTTTCTTTGCTTTTTATCTTATCATTATTATTATTACTATTATCCTCTCTTTCTCTTTTTCTTTTCTATTTTACCTTTTCCTTTGCCTTTTCCTCGTCATCTGTCCGAAGCTCCCATCGTCGGAAGTTCCTTGGCACTTAGCCTAGGTGAACATCTCCTGTCTGAAGGATACTCTCCTCGCCTGCAATTTGTTCTTGAGATCTTTCTTTTGGATCGCTTTTTCAACCGGAGTTCGGTGTCTGAAGACTTCTTTTAAAGATGGATACGCTACTGTAAGGATTGTTATTATTCCCTTATATCGATGCAATGAATTGTCCGGGCCGCCAAAGGAGTCCGGTTCAAGATTGGTCAAGAAACGAATGATATCCCCATCCTTTGGGCATACCTTCGTCTTTGCTGTATAAGCTTGTTCAAATCTAACGTGGTTCAGAACTGCTGAAATCGTGGCCAATTCCCCTCGGTTCCGGAGGAAATCATCAACATTCGTTGATGCAATTCATGATTTGCCTGAAAAGGCCGATTTGGCACCAGCTCAGCTGTATAGCACGGAGTCTGGTCGACTTTTCCATTCTGGGAGGATTGTGATTATCACTGTAGGGTTACCAGCGAGGGGCAAGACGTTCGTTTCACCATCTGGACGAGAATCGATCTAGTCAAATGACTGACTCTCCATGTTGTATTTCAGACATATTTCTGTAGCATTGGCGCGCTATCTTCGTTGGTTGGTATTCTTGTCGAATCGGTCATGCTGTCTTCGCTAAGAGAATTGCAGGTTAGGTGTAAAAACTAGGATCTTCCACCTTGGGGATTACAGACGAGCCACGATTCCTGTTGGTCAAGACATCCCAGATGACTACTTTTTTGTCAATGGTCAGTGATTCGAGATTCTCTACCGTCTTTGTTTTTGTTATTCTTGCTACAGTGCACGTTCCATACTACACTCGCACCAGCGGCTAGTTGTATCCTTGACGTCGTTTCGTCCCGCTAATTGATCTACAGCATCTGCATCATCGGTTCTATTGAGGCAAAAGATCATGAAAAGGTGTCGCGAAGACATATACCAGTACTTGAATTTCGAAAATGGCCAAATTGCGATTTATGATGCTGTCAATCCTTTAGCTTCTGGCCGACGATCGCTTGCAAAGGAGTTTGCCAAACAAGATATTGAGGTATGAAAGTATCAAGACATCTCATCTCACCATGCGATTTGTGTGTTGGCTTGTTCTAACGGTCAAAACACGTGCAGACTCTTTTCATCGAATCGTGGTGCGATGACGAGCGCATCATCGAGGAGAATGTTCGCAGAGTCAAGATCTCATCCCCCGACGTAAGTAGGTCCCCCCTAGCATGTTTCCGATCAAAATGACTTAAATCTTTTAGTATGTTGGCTGGTCATCAGAGGATGCAGTGAAGCACTACTTGACCAGGATATCTGCCAGAATCCCTCAATTTCAAACCATGGAGGAGAAAGATTTGAATTATATCAAGGTATTATTGGCGGAAAGACATGCCAGCTTCAATACTAATCGAAGTACAGATGATAAACGCGGGAGAAAGACTCATCATCAACAATAAAAGTTTCGGTTATCTATCTAACCGAATTGTTTTCTATCTTCTGAACCTTCACATCAAGTCCAGGCATACGTACTTTGCACGAGTAAGTCGAGTTCTGGGTGAATGGACTCTCAGGCACTAAACCTTCATTAGGCCGGTGTTTCGCTGGAGGCAGATTCCTATAAAGCTGATGCCTCTCTGTCGGAGCAGGGAGAGGATTACGCAAAGAAAATGACTGAACGTCTCCTGCAGCATAGGGAATCTGAAAAACAGGCCATGATTGACCGAGGGGAGACGGATTACGAACTCAAACCACTAACAGTTTGGACATCCACGAGACGCAGGACCGTTGAGACAGCGAAATACTTATATGAAAAGGGATACAAAGTCCGGCAACGCTCACAAATGAGCCAACTGAACCCTGGTGTTTGCGAGAAGATGTCTGAGAGAAGAATTCGTGAAGAGTATCCGGACGAGGTGGCTAAGCATGAGCTCGATCCTTACCACCATCGGTACCCTCGAGCTGAGGTGAGCTCAATTCCAGCTTCAAATCTGACGTTGTCCCCAGAGCTTACATCTATGACAGTCCTACCATGACCTTGCTGTGCGACTCGAACCCATTATCTTGGAACTTGAGCGGGAGCAGAACGATCTTCTCATCATAGCACACGAAAGCGTGCTAAGAGTCCTCTATGGTTACCTCATGGCGTGCAATGCTGCTGACATTCCTTTCTTGGAGTTTCCACGTGACGAAATCATCGAAGTAAGGATACACATAACACCTTAAACCTAAAGAGCACCCGACTAATCACTTCGTGCAGATTATCCCGGAAAGCTATCAAAACGAGGCGCGCAGAATACATATCCCTGATTTGCCAAAAGAAATTATACCTGGCTCTCCGCAAGATATCAAAATTCCGGTACCTCCCAGTGGGGTGCCTTCTCCCATGGTTGGGGGGATAGGCAGCCCCAAGGATGGATTCTCAACACCACAAAGCGGCCTTCGAACTCCTCGGGAGCCTGAGAGGATATCGCAACAGCACGTGGACGATGTTGTCTGATCGTATGTTCGCTCTGAACTAAATGCTGCGTGGTGTACAATGGACCTTATATCATGTCGAGTCCATGGAAACGATGACCCTGATAGAGCTCATGTAGGCTTTTAGGCGGATTTATCCTCCGTGAAGTGTTGAGACGAATACAATATTGTCCCCTGATTGGAGCTCGTATTGCTCTTCGCCTTCGAGTTCCCAGTCGGCATCGTTGATAAGGACGAGGATACCAGGTCGTCTATCATTTGCTGTCAACCTTGCCACTGATTCACGGGTTTTCATTCGCGACATACACATTGTCTTCCATTATAAATAGTTCTTTCCTTTGATCCTTCATAACATTGTCAACCAGATATCGTAATAAGTAAGCGATGGTTGGCCGGCCGCCGTCGTCCACTTGAGCTGGTAGAGTGATATGATGTTTTCGCTCATTAGAGAAGAGAATCTCCAGACCACCACTATAAGAATCGAAGTCAGCAGGCATTGAGGTGAAACAATGCATTCAGAGTTGGTCTAACGTGAACTCAACAGTAATAGTGATGCTATCGGCGCCACCTTTCACGGTAGAAGAGTCAGCCATGACCACTTCAGAATGAGCCCACAGCCGCAGAAAATGTGGTTCTCAAGTATGAATTCAGGAATAGTCGAGGAGTCGTAGCTGACCGGACACATATGAGTGAGAGGAAAATGCAAACGAGGAGGGGCTGCTCTGCGATGGCCGCGCTTATCGATAAGCTTAAATTCCCAGCACAAAAAGTGGTCATTGATCCATTCTGTCTCAGCAATCGAAAGATAGCGCCTTCCTGTCCGTGTCCATAGCTGGAATTTGTCGCTGAACTTCTATACCAACTTAGATCACCAGTTGGCAATCATTGTCAGGCGCATTCATGGTGTCAATTACGACGGAATACATCAGTGTCGGGGGGAACAGGCATCCGGCTGCCGCAGACTGGGATGTGCAGTCAGGCGTGCTCGCCTTTGGTGCAGATAACAATGTGGCCTTATGGGATCCAAGGGTATGAACTTTTTCAGTGGCTCAATTGGTCTCGATGCAACCGGACTAATACTGTTGTTGCCTGTCTAGGATACCTCTCAGCGCGGGGTCTATGCCCTCCTCGTTGGCCATAATGACAAAGTCAGTGCGGTCAGATTCTACACATGTCCCACCACGGGTACGAAGCTGCTTCTTACCGGCTCCATTGACCAAACGATTCGGATATGGCGGGCTGATGCAGCCGACCCCGCCAAATTCACCCATGCACATACTCTTACGGGTCATACAGGCTCAGTGAATACAATTGCCGTTGCCGATGGCGTCGCTATCGTCGCATCGGGAGCCGCAGATGGTAGCGTCAAGATCTGGAAGATCGACACGCAGGAAAGCACAATAAGGGCGGATCTATTTCATGATCTTATGTTGAAACCTCGCTTCTTCCCGCTGGCATTATCATTGAAGCCGCTGTCAACGGAATCGAAAGACAAACCCGTGGTATTGGCAGTCGCCGGCACGATGAATTATGTTCAGATTTATGTTTCTGAAAACATATTCGCTGGTGCAAGCTTTAGACTATCTGCGACTCTTTCAGGCCATGAGGCATGGGTGCGTTCCCTCTCCTTCACCGAGGATAAACAAAGCAAGTCAGGGGACCTATTGCTCGTCTCAGCCAGTCAAGATAAATATATCCGGTTGTGGAGGCTTCAACGAGGCGAGGCCACCAAGACTGTACTAGCAGATGATGCAGATCCTATGCTTGGTGGACTTGAGACGACTTTATCCAATAAAGCTCATCAGTTCGAAGCAGCCGGGTCCAAATATTCGGTCACTTTCGAAGCTCTTCTGTTTGGAAATGAGGATTGGATTTACACGACATGTTGGAATCCAAGCACGGAACGCCAACAGCTTCTTTCTGCTTCTGCAGACAATACGTTGACAATCTGGGAGCAGGATCCAGTGTCCGGGGTATGGCTCTCAGCAGAAAGGATGGGAGAAATTAGCGTCCAAAAGGGATCTACCACAGCTACAGGAAGCACTGGCGGCTTCTGGATTGGACTTTGGTCTCCTGACGGAAGACAAGTCGTGAGTCTGGGCCGAACAGGTAGCTGGAGGGCATGGAGGTATGATGCCGATTCTGATATGTGGGTGCAGGCACTGGGGATTACGGGCCATGTGAGGTCTGTGAACGGTGTGCAGTGGGAACCAACCGGAGGGTATTTGCTTTCTACCAGCGCAGACCAGACTACTCGCCTGCATGCAGAGTGGTCGCGTGAGGGACTGAAGTCGTGGCATGAGTTTTCAAGGCCTCAGATTCATGGTTACGATCTGAATTGCATTGATACCTTGGGACCCGCGCGTTTTGTATCAGGCGCTGACGAAAAGCTTTTACGAGTGTTCAACGAGCCGAAACCCATCGCTCAACTACTGGAGAAGCTGGCCGGATTTAAACCAGTAACGGACGAAGAGCTTCCAGATACAGCACAGATTCCAGTTCTCGGCTTGTCTAACCAGGCCGTGGGCGAAGAAATACCAATGGAGGTAGACGAAGAGAGTGCTGCGGGGGCGCGGCAAGTCCAAGCAAATCAGGCAATGATATCGAACCTGTGCCATCCACCGCTGGAAGACCAGTTGGCTCGCTATACACTGTGGCCCGAGCATGAGAAGCTCTATGGTCATGGTTACGAGATATCAGCCGTGGCCGTGAGTCATGATCGCACCCTGGTTGCGACTGCTTGTAAAGCAAGCTCAATAGACCATGCGGTGATACGGCTCTACGGCACTTCTGATTGGCGCGAAATCCGGCCTTCCCTAAAAGCGCATTCTTTGACTATTACAAGTCTCTGTTTTTCGAGTGATGACCAATACCTCGTCAGTGTTGGGCGAGATCGGCAGTGGGCTGTCTTCCTACGAAGTGGGCAAGACCCTCATTCATTCTCGCTTCTGACGTCGAACCCCAAGGGCCATTCTAGAATGATTCTAGATGCGGCATGGGCTCCCCAAGCGGCAAACCCTGTCTTCGCGACGGCTGGCCGAGACAAATCAGTAAAACTATGGGAGAAGGTCGATGATTCGTTCGCTTGCAAGACGACTATCTCTCTAGAAAATTCAGTCACAGCTGTTTCGATCCTTCCAAGTGTACTTGACGCCTCCTTCTTCCTTGCAACGGGCGAAGAAAGTGGCAAATTATCGATCTACCAGGTGACGGTTGACGGTCTCGAAGCGAGACAAGTTGCTACCGTTGATAGATTGGTATCCCCCTCTAGGGCGATCACCCAATTATCATGGCGGCCGTCCCATCAGAAGGATGTTAGAGATACTGAGTGCAGATATGAGCTTGCTGTAGCAAGTGAGGATTCCTCAGTGCGTGTATATGCTATTTCTAACATGCTTTCGTGAAATTTCATGTATATACACAACGAAAGAAGTACAAAAAACGCAATCATGAGCTCATGCCATGGTGTTGAATAGCTCTAGAATGTTGAATGATGCCTGACCTTTATCGTCCATGAACCAAGCCGTAAACCGCCGCCATGCTATTGTGGTTGAACAGAATGTTTGTTGAAGCAAAAGTAGTATTCCAAGAAATCGGACAACCAAGTGAATCAGCCGCTCCGGATTATAAGAGAAGCTGGTCAGGTTGGCTTCTCCAGCCCATATCCCCCGAGTCCGTCCAGTGACGCGTAGGTCTTGCTCTGGCTGGATTGCCCGTTCCTTGGTCCTCTGGCCGACAAGTCCTCCTTGAGCCACTTGAGCACAAGCTCACCGAGTTGACTGTTCTCTGATGTCTCGGTGACCTCGCTCTTGAATTTTTCCATGGGGCCCCATTGCCTGACGTTTCCGAGGTGCATATGCACCAGATGGGTTGGCCACTGCGACAAATTATCCAGGATGTGCGTGGCATAGACAATCGTGCAGGGTCTTGTCTCTGTCTCCCGCTTGAGGAAGGAGAGGAAGTTACTCCTGGAGAGCAAGTCGAGGTCCACCGTGATTTCGTCCAGAAGAAGCACCTGCCATGGGCGCAGCAGACCCATTGCCAGCTGCACACGGCGGCGCTCACCGTCTGACACGGCGTGCATACGCCATCGGAGGTCAATGTCAAGAATTTCAACCAGCTCATCCCTACGCTCGGGATAGGCGTCTCCGCCCACAGATGCTAGAAGCGTGGGGACGTCGATGTCCGTACGGACAATGCTGTTCAGAACCCACTCGACACCCAGGTAAGTCACCCCTTCGAGGCCGTGCTTGAAGGGGTCCTTGCCAGCGATAGAAATTGTGTCTGTCGGGGCCAAGCGCTTGCCTGCCAGCAAGCGCAGGAGCGTGGTCTTGCCCGCACCATTTGCTATAATGGCGTTAACAATCGGTCATGACTCATCTAGTCAGGAGGGGACCAAATCACCTCCAATGAGCAATGTCCGACTCCCTGCTGGAAGACTGAGAGTCACATTCGTCAAGCCTGAAGAACCATCTTGGAACTTATAATTCAGACCATTCACATTGATTGAAGGACCCGTCTGATTGCCTGAGTCTGCCATGTCTAGACTAGGAGTAACTACGCTGGTGGTTAATGCTGTGCTACCTTGATGTGAAGAACACTTACTACTTCTAAATGGCAGGGGATTCGTAAACCTATTCCCTTGTTAATTCTGAATAAGAGAGTGACCACAACAACTTGTAAATAGGATTTGTTCTAGAAACGTGCTTATGACTCGATTGCCACTAGTCTGTGAGGAAGCATTGGGGGAAAGGACGTATGTCATGTGATCTCCTACTTACGCCATTCTGTCTGGAAACGAAATATGACTGGAGTCGCGCTGGACTGCCGGAATAGTTGGAGAACCTCTATCGATTCCTTACAATATTCTCTAATTTGACTGAAGGGCCGCAAACTACAAGGGAAGTAAGATAAAAAAAAAGCAAAAACATACAACAGCCGGGATTCGCTGGTGGTCACCCACCCAACTACTAACCGGCCGGCGTGTGGCTTAAGTACGGCTGAGCGGACGGGAAGCCCTGT